AACATGGACAAAGTAACAACGTTTTTTATACTGCAGTACATTTATCCATTTTAAATACACTAACCTCACTCCTTTGTAACAACTAAGGCAAAAATCTCATTAATTCGGAAAATCTTTTCAAGACCCCACCTTGATGTTTCGGGACCCCACTTTGGGTCCCGACCCCAACTTTGGGAAACACTGCTTTAGAATATCGATACAGTATCGGGAAATGAAATATTGCGATATTTCAGTGGATCGATATTTTCTTACACCCCTAGTTTCAATGTGATGGCTCACATTTATGTTTTTTATTCTATTATGTTTGTTTTATTAGTTCATTGTTCTCCATGCATTTTTAAAAATAAAAACCAAATTAACAATTTAGTGAAATTTTTTGAGGACCCCCAAGATACTCTGACAGACCCCCAGTTTGAGAACCTCTGTGTTACCAAACTCTGATGGCTTAATGTGCTTCCATTAAGGTTTTCTGGTCATTTTGCATTGATTTTGTCAACTATTAGATGAATCTGCCATCCAAACCCATACAGTATAAATTAGCAAGCAAAGTGTATCCCTCTCTGCTTCACAATGTGAAAAGTGGTAAAAAAGTGGCTCCAATAAAGTTTTAATTGCTTCTCTCCACGTTTCACATTGCAGTATACAGCAATTACTGGAAGCTTCYTGTTATTTTTGAATCAGACCTTGGCAGGTCATACGCTGCCTTTTCACTCATGTCAAAACCATTTCATTATTTTATACTGAAGGAGGTTAATCGCAAAAGCAATCAGCCATTAGTTGCAGCTCATCTCAGATGTTCTCTCTTAAGGAGTCTRTGATTCTACATTTTCAAAGACTGTCATTATTTAAAAAAACATRTAAAAGCTGCTAACAGTGTGAAATGAACCTCCCTCATCTTGGTTCCTATCTGTCTATCCGTCATATTAGATAGAAATAAGCAGAAAATTGTGTGTTTTGAAAAACGACTTGTAACAATTCTATCTCCATCATAATTTTTCTGTCATGTATTATTCATCTGACAATACTAGGGCTGCAACGAACTATTTTAATAATCGATTAATCTGTTGATTATTTTTTGATTAATTGGCCAAATCATTAAAATGCTTAATTACATGAATATGAGTAGATTGATATAAATTAATTTCATTCCTGTATAAATTATGGATGCAAGTTATTGATTAATTAATTAATCTGAC